GCGGCCCGCTCCGACTCGGGCGAGTACGAGCTGTGCGTGCAGATCGAGAACATGAAGGACACCGCCACCATCTGCATCTGCGTCGTGGGTGCGCGGCGGGGCGGGGCGGCCACGGGGCCCTGAGGGGCAGGGGAGGGGAGTGAAGAGCCTGAATGGCGTAACGCCCACCCCCGCTTCAGAAAAGGCAGGGCCACCGGTGAACGTGACCGTGAAGGAGGTGTGGGGCACCAATGCGCTGGTGGAGTGGCAGCCCCCCAAGGATGACGGCAACAGTGAGGTCACGGGGTATCTCATCCAGAAAGCTGACAAGAAAACCATGGTGAGGGACCAGAGGGGCCTGGGGCTGCGAGGGATCAGCTGGGGTGCGGGGCAGCGGGCTGACGACAGGGCAGGCGCTGCTGTCCGTATGTCTCAGCTGGGGAAATCGAGACACCGAGGGACTGGGAGAACGGGCTGGGGCTGGGAGGGAAGGCTTCCCACTGATATTTGGGGCGTGATGGGTTTTCTTTCTCTTATTCACATCATTAAGCATTAACCCTTTTAAAGTGGCATTTAGTATGTTTCCTGCATTGCGCAACCATCCCCCCCTCTACCTAGTCCCAAGACATTTCCTTCACCTACAAAGAAACACCGTAGCCATTACGCAGTGACCCCCGTCCACTCCCACCCGGTCCCCAACAACCACCCACCTGCTCTCTCTCTCTGCGGATTTGCCTGTCGTGGGCGTGTCCTGCGGACACAACAACACAACATGTAGCCTTTGTGCTTGGCTTCCGCTCCGCCTCCCCTTTTCTAGGTATGGGCGCTACATTGTAGCAGGTGTCAGTGCCTCCTCCCTTTTCATGGCTGAGTAATGTTCCATGGCTTGCGCCTCCCACATTCTGGGGCGCCCTACACCCACCGATGGGCGCTTGGGTCGTCCCACCTTCCGGCCTCTGCCGACAGTGCTGCTGGGAACGGCGGGTTTTCTTAGCTCCGCGCACACTCGGGCGTGCTTTCCTCCCCCCCTTGGGGTCTTGCGTCTGGCCCCTGACGCTCCCGGCCCTTCCCGTCCCCACGCTAGGAGTGGTTCACCGTCTACGAGCGCAGTCGCCACACCCACTGCACCGTGGCCGATCTCATCGTGGGCAACGAGTACTATTTCCGCGTTTTCAGTGAGAACGTCTGTGGGCTCAGCGAGTCCCCTGGCGTCTCCAAGACCACCGCCCGGATCCTCAAGTCAGGTACCACCACCCTCCTGAGCAGGGGCCGGGCCCCTTCTGAGGCTTTGATCTGACTGTGACCCCTCTGCACACCCCCCCCCACGCCCCTGCAGACTCCAAGCCGATGGCTCCTGGTGACGGAGAGGTGGGGCGGGGTGCGGGGGGGACGAGCCAGGTGGGTCGCCTCATAGACGCGCCTCCCCTCCCCCAGGTATCAACATGAAACCGTTCGAGTACAAGCAGCACGACTTCCGGACACCCCCCAAGTTCCTGACGCCGCTGCTGGACCGGGTGGTGGTGGCTGGTTACAATGCCGCCCTCAACTGTGCCGTCAGAGGCGACCCAAAGGTACGTGCGTGCATGCGTGCGTGACCCCGGAGGGGATCCCCGCCCGGACGGAGCCCCCGCTCCTCCCTGGCGCCCTTCCCTCTCCTCTGTCCGTGGGGTCTGCTCACTTCTCACCCGTCTCCCCGCCTCCTCCGACTGGAGCCCCAGTCCAGAGCCTCGCACTTGACACACCCCCAGAATGGAGTCCCCCAGGGCCCACCGTGTCTCCCCATCCCACCCAGTTTCCAGTCGCTATCTGGGAACATGGACACTTGCGCCTCACCTAGACCAGGGGCTGGCAAACCACAGCCAGTGGGCCAAATCCATGCCGCTGGTTTCTTTAAATAAAGCTTTATTGGAACACGACCCCGCACACTTGCTGGCATAGTGTCCGTGGCTGCAGAGACCACAGGGCCCACGGGGACGAACATATTGACACACAAACTTGGCCGCCTTCTGGCCTAATGTGCAACGTTTCGGCCTCAGGCCCTGGAGGCAAAGCTGATTCATCTGTTCACGCCCTCCACGTCCATCTGTCTGCTTCATTCACTGACTCCTCCACGCATTCACTCACCTCCCAGTCCATCCATTTACTCAGTTCATTCATTCGCTGCATTTGCTTGTTTACATCATTCATTCATTCATCATTCGCTTCATTTATTTTTTCCCTGCTTCGATGTGCTCATGAGTCAGAGGAGAGTTGCTCGTGGATGCTGGGGGACACCGGCACTCATTCAAAGTCACGCAAATGACTATAAAGTTATAAAGGGCGGCAGGCGTGCCAGAGCAGCACGGGCGGTCACGAGTGTAAAGCGGGCCTTCGGGACCCGGTCCAGGGAATGACGTGCGAGCTGAGACCTGAGACGGGCAGGAGCTGGTCAGGGGACAGGAGGAGGGAGGGCAGACGGTGCCGAAGTCCCGAGGCGGGAGCCTGTCTGGCTTGTGTGAAGAACAGTGAGGTGGCCGGTGCGGCTGGTGGGGCAGAGGGGGTGGGCGGTGCGGGAAGAGGGTCAGTGGGACCCGTCACTGCGAGGAGGGAGCTCTCACTCTTACGGGAGGAGAGACCGAGGGTCAGAGAAGCAACCAGTCCAAGGTCACCCGGCCGCATTAGGAGGTGGCACGGCCAATAGAATAGAATCCGGATCTTCCTCCCAAGGCCCGTTTGACGTGAGCCAGGGGACGCTCCTAAGCTGGCCTCCTCTCCCGCCCCCCTGCACAGCCAAAGGTGGTCTGGATGAAGAACAAGATGGAGATCCGCGAAGACCCCAAGTTCCTGATGACCAACTTCCAGGGGGTCCTGACGCTGAGCATCCGCCGACCATCGCCCTTTGACTCGGGGACCTACTCCTGCCTGGCCGTCAATGAGCTGGGTGAGGCACTGGCCGAGTGCAAGCTGGACGTCCGAGGTGAGCTGGCGGCCCCTCTGCCTGGCCAGCCGCGCCCACGCCCTTCACGAAGCTAACCAGAGGCACCATGCTGCGCAGAGCTGAGCGCACAGCCGTCACCCGTCAGCCTAGGCCCTCGGTGGGGGGAAGGTGGACACCGGGGCCAGACCCCGGAGGAGCGGCGCACGGGCACAGCTGGAGTGAGGGCGGCACAGGGCATCGGAGGGGTGGGGCGGAGCAGTGCCGGCCCCAGTCTGGGCGGCTGTCCAAGGTTTTCCAAAGGATTCGAAGGACAACGAAGAAGTGAACGGGGATCGCTTAGCAAACGGTTACCAGGGCCTCGGGTGGACGTGGTGTCCAAACGAACATGGGTAGGGGCAGGACAGGGCTGCCTGTGGGGGCCCCGAAAAACGCCTCCCTCTGCAGCCCGCCCCCGAGCATTGTTCCTCCTGGCCAGGCCTCGCTCTGCCCCACAGTCCCAGCCCCAGCCTCATGTGACCTCTTCTTCCTGAATGGTCCCGGCCCCTCCCCATCTCTGTCTCTCTCCCCACACAGGGCCCTGGGGGGGCTCTATCCATCCAGGGTGGACCCGGCCTCCTCAGGCTCCCCAGCAGCCCTGGATCCCCTCAGCCGTGGTCACTGGGTCACTGTCCTGTGGCTGGCAGCCCCACCCACCTCCTGCTCCACATGCTCATTTTCCCCCATACTGTTCCAGCCACATCGAGCTCTTGGCAGTTGGACAAACTGGCCACGTGTCCTCCTGCCCCTGGGACTTTGCACAAGCTGTTCCATCTGGAACACTCATCCACGCCTCTCCCACCTCAGGCTCCTGTCCATCAAATATCCGCCAGTCAAGGCTCTGTGGGGAGGCCACTAGTCAAGTCCCTCAGAGGGGGCTTCCAGAATCCGTCCCACACTGTGACTTCCGTGTCCCTGACAGCCCAGCGAGACAGACCCTTACCGGGGGCTCAGGGAGACCCCTCACTCTCCAAGCCTTCATGGCCGTCATCCTCCCAGGCCAACCCGATTTCTCACGTCCTGTCCTCTGTCCACTGTCGAATCAGCTCAGAAATATCCCCACTTCAGGATTCTGGTGACTGCTTGTCGCTAGCAGCTGCTCAGAAGTCCCTCATCAGAACGCCCCAGACTGGAGTTCAGGAGCAGCGTGGTGTTGGGGTGCCGCCCCGCAGACGAGGGTGGGGAGCGGGGAGGAAAAGGGGACACAGCTCCCCCTGCTGGCGACGGGGCCCGAGGCGGAGGGGCCTGGCGGGGCACAGGCACTGGGGGAGAGAAGGCCCGGGCCCGCGGTCCCCCTCACCCAACCTTTTCTCATCTCCCCCACAGTGCCGAACTGAGACGCTCTCCGCTGCCCAGAGAATCGGGGGTTGAGTCCCGCCCCAACCCCGAACAGTTTTTTTTTCCGGAATTATCACTGAGATGATAGTCTTGTCTGCGTCCTGTGTCTGTCCTTGAACCTGTAGCTCCGCCTTCCTCCGCCACAGGGGTTAGTCACCCAGAGACGGGTAGGGGGACAGCCAGGTTGCTGTGGCGACCAACCCCCACCGGGCAGCTTCCTGGTGGACACAGAGCACGCTGAGACCTCCGCCTTTAGTGAGGCGGCTGCGTTGCCATGGCAACTATAGGCCGCAGAGGGGACCCCAAGAGGAGGGGAGGTCCCGCCCCCAGACTCACTACCCAGAGTGGGGAAGGGGCAGACCCGCAGCCGCGGTGGCCGGGATGGAGTGGGGGGCGCGGGTCTCCGCGTGGCCCCAAGGGGCGGGACCCCATGCACCGAAGGGCACGCTCCGGCGGCCACACCGTGTCGCCAGGCGGCCGGGCTGAGTTCGCGGCTGTGGGGACAGCGCTCGGGACCTGGCAAGGGGTTCTTAGCGGCCGACCTTTATTAACTTTAATAATCCATCTGTCTGGCCCTGAAGTAGGGAATTTAGATCTCTGGCGCGCTGGCGACCTCGAGGGTGCTGGGGCAGTCACAGTCCCCAGAGTTCAGAGGCCAACGGGTCCAGTCTGGCTTCCGTGGCTTGAAGCTGGGTGCGAGAGCGCGTTTGCGTCAGTGGCCTCGACTGGACTGCGCGTGTGGCTGAGGTTTGGGGGTGTGGTGTTGGGACGGGACAAAGAGGCCCCCCCAGGGGCCAGTGCCCCGCCTGTCCCCAGGCCTGGGTGACCCCGCCCTCTCCAGCCCCCATGTGGAGAGGGGGGCCCGGTCAGGGACTCTAGGGCTCAGCTGGCACACCAGGGCCCTGCGGACCCGGTGTTTCGAGGTCCTGCCGTCCTCCACGCACGGCCTTCATAACCCGGGAATTCAGGAGTCGGGTCCCCGGGTCCCCGGGTCCCCGGTCACCTCCACTCAGACCCAGGCGTCCAGGGCGCCCCTCCCCTGCTCCTCCCGCAGACCAGGAGCCGCACCAGCCCCCACCCCGGACTTGCTGCCCTCCGGCCCCCTCACCTCCCGCCCCTCGGCCGGGTCCTCGTCCTCGTCCTCGTCCTCGTCGCCCTCCTCCCAGTCTTCCAGCGCCGAGTACTCCTGCGTGAAGGGCACGGCTCCCTCGGCCGAGTGGAAGCGCAGGCGGTAGAGCAGCCGCACCCACTGGCCGAACTCGCGGTCACGGGTCTCCGGCGGGGCCCGCAGCTGCAGGTAGAAGGCGCGGCCGGTGCGGAACTTGACCTTGAGCTGCCAGCGGCTTTCGTTGTGGACAA